CCCCCCCCCACCTAACCGCCCCCAAAATCAGAGAATGTTTGGTCACATCATAAATCTTAAATTCCTACATAAATAGGAGATCAGATACTTCATTTTACACTGGTATTTTAAAAACCCGATATTAAGACTTAAGGTCTACTTTGCACTGAAATTTTGATACATTGTCCTTCTCCTACGCCGACATCTTTGTGGATGTATTTTTAGTCATCAAATCCGGAAAATGTTTCTTCATATCTTTACTGAACACTATACCCACCAAGACAAGAGCAGAACTACTTGAGGAAGTTAAAGGTTATAGTATATATTTTTCTCAATTCTCATCAGGTTTCCCACTTGAAAGAGGCAGGACATCATTATCTTCAACGCCAGTCGATGGTACAATGTGCAAAGAAGTCAGATTCAGGTCTTTTGCATTCTATCCTGACAAACGAGTCCACGTGCATCTGACGGTCAACCACTTTAACACTACAAACCTTGACTACGTACACGACGCAATGGCATCTTGGGTAGAAAATGTTAATTACCAGGAATTCACGGCTTGCATGACAATGGCTGGTCGAAGTGTGCGCCCTCGCGTTGCGCAGGCAACGTTTGATTGGTTTGCTTATCAGGGTGCACCAGATGGAGGCGTGACGGATCGAACGAGATTGGACGAGTGGTGGACTGGAACGACGTGCAGAACGATCAAATTACCCAGGGTAATGAAAGGCTTAGCACTAGCTCCTATTTACAAAAGCTATCCCAATTTACATGATATCATTTAGTAGCTTTTGGTTTAGAAGGTAAATTGTGGGTTCCATGAGAAATACGAGTCATTATTTGATGGCATTTTATAATGCATTCAGCGATAACATATATCTGCAGGCTCTTATTGTTAACAAGAAGTTAAAACTAAAAAGAAACACCACACAAATTAGCCCCACAAATGAACTTTCATTTTCGCCTTTTATCTTTAGCTTCGAGGTAATGTAATTAATAATTGCTGGAAATATTTGCCTAAATTATTGAATTATTTTATCTGATTGTCAGTTTACCAAGCATTACTATGAATAAAAAAACCACGAGAACACGAGCTTTAAACACTAAACTATTTCTTAAAAAGATATTTATGTTCCGATGTCATTTATTGAAGGGTAAATTCAAATCTGTGCCCACGGTCATTGTGACAGCGGAACACATCAGTGCTGCCTTCAAACACGACGCTACGAACCTTTGGCTTGAAAACGTCAATCAAACGTCGTTTCAAGTTTGTTTACGAGAGCTGCAGAATTTTGATGGACTGCATGAGAATATCCACGTGGTATGTGACAAACATATTATTTTTCCTTGCCTAAATTTTTATGACCATGACCTCTTTTTGACTGCTTTATTTTGGCTTGCAATGATAACACAAAGGCCTTGGTCATTCACTTGGTTTAGAGATTTTATTGATAATAATGCTATATAATTGCAGAATTGGATTGCGTTTGAAGAAATCCATCGTCCAATGTTCAGTGAAAAAGGAAATGTACTCTTCCCGAACTTCGGCAAGCCATCAATGAAATACAATGGCGCCTTTTGTAAGGTAACTAGTTACTCTTATTTTGCATTAAGAAACCCTTTCAAACGTTACTCGTTTTAAATGACATAATCTTTTAATATAGGATTTGAAATATTCAAAAGTACATTATCACGTGCCTACCGTAATTCTTTCAACCAATCACACGACGGCAAGTGAGAATTCAAGACTCGTATATAATGGTGTGTCAACATGGATTGAGGTGAGTGTAAAAGGAACTCTGAAATTTGACGTCATCAGCGCCATTATTATTATATCTGAAGTTATGACCGCCAGCATAGTTAGATATTTTAGCTCGTTTTTGCACTTTTGAGCCACATTGATTTATATAAGAAGGCGAATTTGCGTTTTTCAGTTTTGTGGCACGCCAAGATGGATGCGCACGCAACCTTGAGAAAACGGTCTGATCATGTTTTCTTATTATTTTATTTGTTCACTCGAGGTGTTTCTTTTTTTGTTACAGTACATGAATACGACTGGTTTTCGTGTTTGTGTCAAGGAGCTCTACACAACTAAATACGAGCCTCTTACAGTCAGTTACTTGCTGTTATCAGGTACATTTATGTAATCATCGGATAGAATGAAATCACTATTGACTATTGTAACTTAATTATCCACAAAGCAAACAGTATAAAATATTTTCATTTGTTGTTCCTTTTATTGTGTATCTTTAAGAAATATGCCCCCCGGGCTGGAACTACTTTGATGGTATTTGCTACTACACTAGTTCATCATGTGACACGTGGATTAACGCTGAAAACCGCTGCACAACATCGCGGGCACACCTAGCAACCATCAAAAGTCAAATACAAAATGTCTACATTCAGCAGCGATTAAACGGAGCCAAGGGATGGATTGGTCTGAATGATAAAAGTGTTGAAGGTGTTTTCCGATGGACGCAAAAAGGACAAAATAACTGGACGTACTGGGCAGACAACCAACCTAACAATGCAGGAGATCAAGACTGTGTTTATACTCTAGGTATACTTGGACTGTCTAGGGACACTCTAGAATCTTTGTCTACACGTAAAAATGATTTATTATTTCAAGTATTTATTTTGATAGAGTTGCAAAGCTTTAAAGTCAGTCTTTTTAGAATATAGAACAACTACTCGGCATGATAGAAATTCGGTATACTTATAATTCTTAGATGATATTATATATATTTTTTATTATATAGACATGAGCGTTTTACTGGGAAATACGCCACTTGTATTTTTCGTACAAACTACATCCGGGACCTGAGTAACATATTTTCCAATCCTTCACTGGGTAAGGATATGAATGACGTCACTGGCGATGTTTTGCGGGACCTGTTTTGATTAACTTGCGTAGTTTTTATTTGTTGACTTGTCTATATAATAAAAAGAAAACTACACGTTCGCTTGAAGATATGAAGTTTATCTTCTCGTGTTGGAAAATATTTTCAACACTAGAAGATAAATTTAAATATCTTCTTGTTGTATCCTCTATATATTTTACGATCAATTAATTTTACCATATACAAATTGTTGTAAGTCTCATTTGCCGAAAACAGTATTAAAGTTCTATTATTGTAGGTGTGGACCATCAGTACCACTGGGATGACGTGTCGTGTAACGAATGTCACAACTTCACTTGTCAGAAAGGTATTACATTTGTATTAATTTGTATCACTGCTTTAATTTGAAATTCTTCACTATCTTATAACCCACACATATATATTAATAACAAGCTGCTTAAACAAGTAACTGAAATAAAATATTTAGGTGTGGTTCTAGATAATCATCTCAGCTGGAAGTCCCACATTGCTTTTCTCTGTAGTAAATTTAAAAGAAGCATTGCAATTATAAGTAAGGCTCGTCATTTTGTAAATCTTCATATTTTATCTAATCTCTACTACTCCTTAGATTATCCTTACTTAATTTATGGCATTGTTGTGTGGGACACAAATACGAATCTACCATCAAACCTCTTTTTATTTTACAAAAGAAATCATTACGCATAATGACTTTTAGTGACTTTAATGAACACACTAATCCTATATTTCTTAAATTGGAAATGCAGAAATTTCCAGAGCTAGTATTTTTCTACACCGCTTTGTTTATATATATGTATGATTTCCATGCGGGAAATCTGCCAACTTCTTTTTCTTCTTATTTCACTCAAGTTAATCAAAAGCATAACTATAACACTAGATTGGCCTCTAAGTCGTCTCAGTTTTTCCCTTCCCAAAATTTGGAAAATTCAATATAAGATATTCGGGAGCAAAATGCTGAAATTCAATTGATGAAAATTTGAAAAAATTAAAAAATAGAAAAAAATTTAAAGAGGGGCTGAATGATGACTTATTCCGCTCTTATTCTAGCTGATCATTAGTAATCTTAATCTCCAATATCATCGTTAAATAGTCAATATAATTTATTTCATATCATCAATTGATACTTGAGCTATCCTTTTTACCATAATTTTTGCCCTTTTTTCCCCTCTTATTGTCTGATTAATTATATCTTCGTTCTCTCGTGTTAATATAAATATGTCCAGATTTTTTATGTTATATTTATAATAGACCCAATTTTCTATTGTTTAAAACTGTATGTATAGCTATCTATCTCGGCTAGCCTTTGTGGTTATTATAGATAGCATGCACCTTTATTTAGGTTTTTAATATATTGTATTTATTTTCACTTGTAGATATTATATAGCACAGCAGGTACTAAATAAACACGATTGTATTGTTGTTGTTATTGTTCTCAACCAGAGCAGCAATACTGCTTAAAAAGAGAATCTGAACAACTGAATCTGTTTATAGATTTGGACGAGTGCAGGAAGGAAGCATTCAGTTGCCATGACGACGCAGTATGTATAAATACCTATGGCTCGTACTATTGTCAGTGTAAAACTGGATATTCAGGGACTGGAAAACAATGTACAGGTAGACATTTCATTCTTGTCAGTAATAATCATGTCATCATGTCCTTTTTTTTTGGCACGCATATACTTTTCTCAATGTATTATGTTCTAAATGAAACTTTTAGATATTGATGAATGCACAACGGATTCTCCATGTCACGTGAACGCCACGTGTATTAACATCCCAGGATCTTATGCCTGTCGTTGTAAGAATGGCTTCAGTGGCGRTGGATTCAGCTGTATTGGTAATACATTTGATTTTTCTTATCTACTTTCTTTGCTAGCTGTTTGAACCTTTTCTTGCAGTTAACAGCTCCAGTTTCTGCTCTCATCTGCAGATATCTATTTGGTTTGATCAACTTTTTCGTATATTGATGATGCATTGGAATTTGTTTCAGATATTAACGAGTGCGCAACCAATACGCATCATTGTGACCGAAACGCATATTGTAACAATACAGTAGGATCGTATCGTTGTACATGTAACAGAGGTTATTATGGAAACGGCACCAAGTGTACAACAAGTAGTAAGTACTAATTTATTATCTTCAATGATTTCAAGAAGGAAATTGAAGAGACTCTTCCTTCCTATCCATAAATCCAATTATTTGCAGTTTTCGCTTTTCAAGCTCAATAGCACTGAATAGAGATTGTTCGTTTTTGTTTTTCAGGAGGACTGGATATGTCAGCCATTTTAAGCAACTATGGCAATGCAGATTATATTCGTTCTTTGTCTGGTTACTTGGACCCAGTTCTACAGAGCTCAAGTAGAAGCCGTTGGATCAGATGTTGGCACGCTGCAACAGATGGATGGAATACTGCAACCACATTCCACGTCCAGTGTGACGGAAAGGGACCCACAGTGACTATAGTACGTGTAGGAAGCTACGTGTTTGGAGGATACACCGATGTATCATGGCAAAGTAAGTATAAAAAAGATGATGAATGTTATCGATGATTTTTCTAATTTCAGAACTACCAAAAATTGGCGAGTTTCTTATTGTTACCACCTCTCAATATAAACTTAATAGAACTGTTGCTAACGAAGTAAAAAGAAAGAAAGATAGAAAATAGTAAGAAAGAGAGAAAACAGAAAAAATTGCGCAAAGGGCTTCTTGTAGTCGTAAAATGCAACGAGCGGCATCGTTTTGTTTTTAATTTTTGCTAATTCACCAACAGTATATTCTTCGTTTTCATCAGCTGGCGGCAACTATTATAGGTCCTCCAGATCCTTCCTGTACTCTTTGTATAACACCAATGGATATAGTCCAATCAAGCTGACCTTTAACAGACATCTATACTACCAGTATGCAATATATGGGATTAATTCGTATGGCCCAACATTTGGTGGGGGACATGACCTGCATATCTCGAACTATGCTTCAAGTAACACGAACTCATATACAAACTTGGGTCACACATACCGTACTCCACAAATATGCAGCTATGGCAGTGGAACATGCCGATCTTTTATGGCCGGTACCTACAATTTTTGTCCCAATGACGTAGAAGTCTTTTATGAAAGTACCAGCTAAAGTGGGTCAACCACTGACGAGTGTAAATTCTACATTTAGTGTGAATAGTGTGAATTATGAAGGTTTATATTTCCATTGTGTTACTGACTGTGACATCACCCCAGGCTTTGTAACACTAAACACAGGTCACCAAATTCGCAATAAACATTGTAGAAACCTTGAGTATCATAATAATGATTCTTTTCAAGTACTGTTTTTGTGAACTATTAACTTTCTTTGTATTTTATCAGAACTGTATTTAAAAAAACTTCTTAGCACTAGAAAGTTAATCAGAGTTAGGAGGAGTTTCTTCTTCTTAAATTTATAGAAATAATACTTAATACAGGCACTAGTGTAGTGATGAAAGTGAAATAAAAAATATAAGTGTATTCTTTAGTTTACTTTTGCTGCCATAAAAACTAGGTAACTTTTTGCATAACAAAAATGTTCTTAAACTATGCCTTAAAGACAGACGTTTCGCGACGTGCTTCTCTTCATCTTCTGAAGCCTAGATCTGCGCAAATGTTGATGACAAGGATTAAAAAGAAATAAGGACTTGTAACCATATATATTTGTCTTTAGTACAGAAACAGAACTGTACTACACAGTTTATTTTTGACTGGAATTTTAAAATTTGCTATATTTGTCAGTAGTCTTAAAGCATTATTTCAACGAAGACGAGTTTATCTTTGAGTTCTTTTATGTGGGGGAAAAAAAGAAATTCATGGGACTCGAATGAGAACGAAATGGAGAAGGAGTAGGAAGAAGAGGAGAAAAGGCAAACAAGGACAAGAGAAGGTTTATATCTAATATTTTATTTAATATAATAGATAATATATTACATTCCGCTCTTTGGATTTGATTTATTAACTTCTCATACCCCTTACAATCGTAAACTTCTCATGTCAAACTCATTATTCATATTTTTGTTCATTAAATATAAAAAGGTAAAAAGCTACTACTACTCATTCATGTTTTATAATAGAAGTACAAAACTTTCAATGACATGACATAGCAATGATATGTCTTTCTTAAAATGTGACTTTTTAATAACAGTGTCATTTTGAAAC